GTGAAGCTGTATTTAAAACTCCAAACTGTGCAAGACACTGTTGGAATGAGACCTGATGGCGTTGGTGGGGGGATCAGCATCACTACAAAGAACAGAAAGCCAAAGTATCCTGAGTGGATTGGGAAGGACTCTCAGAGCCACACAAATCTTCAGCCCTCCTTCGTTCTTCCCTGAGGTCGTAGGTGTCCAGGATCCTTGCTTGGCACAGGAGAGCTTCAGGTCTTCACAGCCTCTGCCCCCGAAAGTGAGCCACCCCAAGGAGGAGGCGGTGTCGGCGTCCAGTACAAAGCTCTGAACTAGCAGCAGAGAGACCTGCTTGCTGCTGTCAGGGAGCACAGTGCTGGGCAAATGGCCCAAAGCCCTCTGACCTCAGAGTCTTCGTCTGTGGACTGTGATGGCACCACTTCCTTTCCACGGGGGCGAGCTGCTGCCAGGACTCAGCCAGGCAACACCTGGCAAATTGGGAGAACGGCCTGCTAGAGTCAGACCCAGGATGGCTCCGATGTCACTTTGACGTTGCCTGGATTTCTAGGGACAGGCAGGGGGAGGGTTATGTGAGCTGCTCTTAAGGTCAGCGTATGTCTCAGGAATGTCCTCCAAGCTGGGGCCATTCTCGTTGGTCCTGATGGCTCCCTGGTAGGTGAGTTTATCTGTCCAAGTCCTGAAAACTCACTTTCCCCAAAGACCCTGACTGTCATCCCCAGAACATGTGATCCAGGGCTGACACCCATGGTGTGCAGCCCTGCAACCTGAGAGCCCCGAGGCCGTCCCTGGCAGGCATCATGTCCTTAGCAGCAGTGAGGGAAGCTGGAAGCTCGGGTAGGAGTTTTGAATTCAGAACAGTGAACAGGGCAAACTCCAGGAGCCACGGGCCTTCCTGATGGTTGGCTGCTGGGAGAGGCCAGGGCCACTTATTCCAGATCTAATGGCTCTGTTGCCATAGTTACAAGGAGTGGTTCTCCCACAGCGGCCCCCAGGGTGTGCAGCCTTTCTTGGTGAGTGCTGGGAGATGAGAGCCCCCATTCGAGTCCTGGAATGTGGGGCAGGGGATCCTTCCAGCAAAGCCAGCCCCTGTGCCAAGGACTCCAAGGATTTCCCAGCTGGGCGGTTCCACCAGGCACAGCGCCCAAGGAGCAGCTCCTGCAGTCAGCCTGACCGGATACTTCCCAAAGCTCTCTGTGGGCGGAAATGGCACCATGGGACCTGCCGCAGCCCCCTCCAGTGGAGACACCTGCAGCGACAGCGCCCACGGCTCCATGGTGCAGACATCTGGGGGCTGTGAGTCACTGTGGTCCTGGTGCTAAAACTTTGTACTTCCCAGGGTTGTCTTGTGAGAAGCAGTGAGTATTTGTGGACAGGCTTTCAAGTGTGGAACTAAGCAGATGCTAGAGGCTGTGATTACTAGAAACCAGAGAAGAGCATGCTTGTAAAAATCGGACCACCCTGGTCCCCCTCGCTTCCTGGTGATCTGTCCCCCATGCCAGCAGCTGGGCAATGGGTGCTTGGTGCAGGACTGATCGTTCAGACACATTTGGAACCTGCTATCCCCCAGGCACAGTGTGATGCAGAGAGTAAGAAGGGAATATTTTTCCCTTGGCCTGGATGGATTCAGTCTCCTTAGAGAAACAGCCTGGCAGATGGAAACAGCACAGTGCCACATGCCCTGTAGTAAGGCTTGTCTAAGGTTCTGGGGACACAGAGAAGAGAGGAATTAATTCTGCCCGAAGGTGTGACCAATCAGAGATATTTGAATTGTGTTCTGCAGGACATAAAGGAGTTTGCTGTGTGAACCATTATCTGGGGAATGGGGATCAGAAATAGCAAGAACCGTGCCTTGAGAAAGTGAAGCTGGAGTGTTGAATGGAAGCCCACAGGGGACATTCATGCTTTGCCCTGGGCCCGGATTGTGCTGGGGCTGGGATTGGAGATCACAGCTGTCCCCCAGAGCAAGGCCATCTCCCTGGGATGGAGTAGGTGGTGTCGAAAGAGTGACCTCAGACTGAGGCACCTGAGGAGTTGAGGTGGCATCCAGGCAGTATGTCCACCGACACAGTGCTGCGTTTGGGAAACTGCAGGTGGTTTCCAGCGCTGGAAGAAAGGTATGCGGAGCACATCAGAGATATAGTTGCAGAGGTCAGTAAATCCATGGAGCCTGGAGTGGAGTGTGCAGGCCCAGAGGAGAGCTCCTCTCCGTGTTGGCCTGGAGAATTCCCCAGCAACAGCTGGAGCAGGGCCTTTACCTGCAGCAGGACATAAGCTCCCCAGGTGACCTCAACATTCAGCCAGGGCTGAGAACCTCGAGTATAAAGGACACTAGAGGTCCGAGCATGGAGGCCTGGAAGCCACTCGCGCCGAGGTTGGGGCAGAGTCCCTGGGCCCCAGCAGAGGGGCTGACTCCAATTTTCAGGGATCCCTTTTCAAGAAGAGGGTGGATTGAGACAGGGAAGGCTGAAAAGTCTGGAGAACAGTTAGTTGACCTGGGAGAGAGTGAGGTGAGAGAAGGTGCCGGTGTGGACTGGAGGGCACCTCAGGTGAAGGTTAAATACACAGAAAACTGTAAAACATTGCTGAAGGAGATGAACAAAGGTGAATGAAAATGCATCTCATGTTCATGGATAGAAATACAGTGTCATTAAGATGGTACTATTCGAAGTGCTCTATCTGCAAAATACAATCTGTATCAGAAGTCTAATGGAGGCTCTTGTTTTTGTTTTTTTAAAAATCTACCCTACAATTCCAATGGAATTTCAAAGGACCCAGAATAGCCAAAAAAAAAATCTTGAAAAAGAGAAAAAAAAGTTGAAAGTCTCACTCTTTCTAATGTCAAACTTATTAGAAAGTTACAAGTAAATAAAAAATAGTGTGTTTAGTGTGTTACTGGCATTAAAAAAAAAACAACCAGCAGAAATGAACAGAGAGCCCAGAATTAAACCATCACATTTATGCCCAGATGACTTTTCACAAGGGCACCGGGACCATTCAGTGGGGAGAAGGCAGGCTTTGTAATAAATAGTGTTGGAGATATTCTGTATCCACATGGGAAGGAATGGATTTGAAGCCTGACCTCACACCACGTTCAAGAACTAACTCAAAATTAACCCAAGTGTATATTAGCCAAGTGTATATTAGAAAGAAGCATAGGAAAAAGCCTTGGGACATTGACCTTGGCTAGGATTTCTTGGATGCAACACCATCACTGCAGGGAACAGAAGGAAAAACAGATACATTTATCAAATCAAAGACTTACCTGCATCCAAAGATAGCTAGTGGAGTGAAAAGGTAACCCACCAAATAAGGAGATGTTTGCAAGTCACATATCTGGTAAAGGGTTAAGATTCAGCATGTATGGAGAATTCCTACAACTCAACAACAAATAATCTGATTAAAACTGGACAAGGGATTAGAATAGACATTTTACTGACATGAGCACATGAAAGATGCTCCACATCATTATTCATCAGGAAAATGCAAATGAATATCACCATGAGATGCCACCTCGCACTCACTAAGATGGCTACAGTACAAACCCACAGAGCACAGCAAGTGTTAAGGATGTGGAGAAATTGAGATCTTGGTGCCCTGTGAGTGGAAAGGGGAGAGTGGCAAAGCTGCTGTGAAATTAAAAAGGGGTAGAATGATGCCTCAAAAAGTTTTAAGCTAGAATGACCTGATGTCCAGCAGTTCCACTTCCAAGTACACACTCAGAAGAGTTGGAAGTACGGTCGTGAAGAGATACTTGTAACCCTGCCTGTGTGCTGGGGCGGCCACCACCAAGTGCCATAGTCTGGGTGGCTTAACAGCAGCTCTGTAGGCCAGAAGTCTGAACTCAGCTGGAGGGGTTTCCCTTGAGCCTTCTCCTTGGCTAGGAGATGGCACTGTCCCCATGTCCTCACATGGCTATCCCCATGCATTTCTGTGTCCTGATCTCCTCTCATCAAGTTAGATTAGGACCCACCCCCACGACCTCTTCCAGGACCCAGTCTCAATATGCATTCACTTGCTGAGGTGCTGAGGCCTAGGATTTCAACTGTTGGAGTTTTTGGAGTTTTGGGTGGTGGGGTGGTGGGAGCGGCACGACTCAGCCCACGCCACTCATGTCCACAGCAGCGTTATTTACAAGAGCCAAAAGGTAGAAGTAACCCCAGTGTCTGCCAATTAATGAATGAGTAGACAAGATGCAGTCTATCCAGACAGTGGGAGAGCACCTGGCATTAAAAAGGAAGGAAATTCTGACCCAAGCTGTAGCACAAGTAACATTCTCACCCACGGATGCACCTTGAAGTCATGGTGCTAAGTCACACCAGCCGGACACAGAAGGGCAAACACTGATCCCTCTCATGCGAGGTCTCTAGCACTGTCCAGTCCACAGAGACAGAGTAGAAGTTGCTGGCCAGAGCTGGGACTAAGTGTGGAAGGGGGGCAGATGGAAAAGTTCCAGAAGTGACTAGTGCCAGAGGCACACAATGTGAGTGTACCTAACACCACCGAACTGTACACTGTACACAGAATGGCCCCTCCGTGGCACACAGGATGAGTGTGTGATGAGTGCCCTTCTTGTTCTGCCTTAGTCCCCATCTCGTCCGCCTTGAGCACTGTGTCACTCACCTGTCCTGGTTGCTCTGATGCCGTCCTCCCAAAGGACATGGCACCTCCCTGGGCCAGTCATGAGATCCTGTCCATCAGCCACTGCCCCAGTCATCCCCAGATGGGTCCTCCATGCCCCCACCTGCTGCCTCCTTTCCCCTCTGTGCCCAGCCTTTCTTCCTCCCTTTCCTTGGGGTGGCAGGAGGTGGTGACTGCTGTGTCCTAGGACACATGGAGAGTGGCCAGCACCTTTGAAGGAGACGGCTGACCTTAGTCTCCCGTGTGCCATCCAAGACCTTTCTTCCTGTTGGTCCTTAGGAAGAGGGTTTGGGGAGGAGCGGTGAACTCCTTAGGATCTTGAGTACCCCTGGGGACCGCTGTCACTGACACGACCTCTCCCTTCTTCTCTCTCCTAGGATCTGAGTTCCTTTGCCATGCCACTCCTCGATGGAGACCTGGATAGTTCGGAAAAGCATTCCTCCCGTAAGGTAGGTCGGGTCCTTTCCTGAAGCTGTACAAGTGCGCTGTGGGCAGCAGAGGCAGGTGGAGCCAGAGACAACCTTGCCCCTGTGTTCCCGCTGTGCTCAGCAGTGCCAGCCCCCCCCACTGTCCCATCCTCTCTTGAATGCTGTTCTCCCTCCCCCCGCTCCATTTCTCTTCCAGCAAGAAACTGAGGCTGCTGGCCATGGAGGGTCAGGGGCTTTGGAGTGTGGGGTGGGGGTGGCCACAGCAAGGAGGGGAGATGAGGAAGCCTGGTGGGCTTCTCCTGGAGTCAGGACGTGGAGGTGGGGCAAAGGCCAGGCAGGAAGTCCTCCCTAGGCCTCTGGCCACCTACAGAGCCTGCAGCAGGGAGGGCTGGACAGTGCTTGGTGCTGTGTGGGAACCGGAGTACATGTACACAGGCCCAGGATGACGACTCCCACCACTAGAAAAGGCAGATCTGGTCTCTGAATGTGTTCAGTTACATAAATGCAATCAGCAAACTGGCATGGGCCTGCAGAGAGCCATTGGCTCAATACCTGCCCTGTCTTGCTTGAAGCAGGCAGCCTGATCATGATCAGCAGATCAGCCCGGCCTCCCCAGAGCCCTGGCCCAGCAGTGCCACCTCCTTCAGAGAGCACTGTTCTCCTGAAACTCTCCCTCCCGGCAGCCGGCCCTCTGCACACAGTGTTTGTGCTCTGGGCAGGGGAGCAGAGGGAAACAGCTGTGTTCTCATGGACCTTGCTGCCTGGGGTTTCCTAGGCCGTCCCACTTGCACCACAGCCAAGACTGCAGGGCAGACAGTACCCCCATCCTGGGACCACCCACAGATGCCAGGAACCTCGAATGTAGTTGCCGTGCAAACCCCAGTTTTGGTAGGCAGCGTGAGGTGACCACCCTACCTCTAATAATTTCCAAATTGCCCACAAAGCCTTATCCCCTCCCCAGCCCAACTGTCCCTGCATGTGGGCATCCCAGTTCCAATGAGCAGGCCCGGGAGAGCGGGCCCCTGGTCAGATCCTGCTGACCTCCTGCTCCTTGTGAGCATGTCACCGTGGGGGTGCTGCTGGGCTCCCACAGCAGAGAGGAGGGAAGGAGGGGGTGCCCAAGCCACTGCTGTCCCCAAGGATGGGCGATGGTGGGGAACCAGAGGGGGAATGGGCAGAGCGGCTATGACAAAGTCTGCCTCAAGACTCTTTGGATTTATGACACACCCCACACGAGGCCTCCAGCCCCTTCCACACACGCAAGTAGAGATGGGTGGGAGTTGCAGCTGTGAGCTCAAGGTCAAAGGCAGATAGGATTCTAGCTCTTACTTTTGCTTAAATTAATTTAAATCTAACAGCACATCTCCATCCCACCAGCTTGATGGAAAATATTCGCCTCCCCCATTCCTGGGAGTCTCTTCCTGGGTTTGTGCAAGGGTCCTGGAGCCCTGTACCACCCCTCCACAGGCATTTAGATGAGAAAAGAACTTGAAAATGAAGGAAACTCTTTCCCTTGGTCATAGTACCGCATCATAGGTGAGCCAGGCCTGCATCCAGGTTGCTTGATGTTCAAACAGCCTAGACTGGATGGGCATCTCCTAAACCTCAGGCTGAGGGACAGGCCCATTCAGGGAAGTGCCTCCTGGCCCTTCTGGCTTTCTTCTGCATCTTTGTGCTTGTGATCAAATCCCCATGCACGATGGAATACTACTCTACCATAAAGAAGGATAAACTTGGGTCATTTGTAGGAAAATGGGTGCACGTTGAGCCCACGATGTTAAGTGAAATAAATCAGACACACAGCTACAATATCAATGGCTTCTCTTATTTGAGAAACCCAGAGTATAAATAAAGAACAAAATAAAAGATAGATAATAGGAAACAGGGAGATAGATCTTTTGCAAATGGGAAAGGGGCCAAGAGATGAAGGGAGAGGGGAGGAGAAGAAAAAAGAATTAAGTTGTGCTATGCACATGGACCAACTCCACACAAGGAATATAACCATTATGTACTGCAAACATGGTCTAAGGGGGAAAAAAAAAAGATCCCCACCTTTAGGGAGCCCTGCCCTCTTAGGCAGTAGTGACTGAACATCTTTGCTGGCTGCCCGGCTGAGCACCCATGTGTGGCCCCAGCAGGCCTCTGGCTCTGCTCTCTGAGCTGTTGACCACTCCAGGCTCAGTGTCCAGTGACACACGTTCCCAGCTGCCATGGCTCCTGGCTCCTCATTTTTGGGCTCCTCCTCAAGAGGCAGCAGTTCTGTTGCACAACACACTCTGTCCAGAAACTTCTGGTGTCTGTCTGCGCAGTTCCAAACAGCAGCTCAGGGGCACAGGGAAGAGGAAGGTCCCCTTCCTCGGCTCTCACTATAGGGACCTTTAGTGTACTGCTGCCTCTGCTCCACCACCCGGCCTAGGGCACCGTGGACGGTCCTGGTATGCATGACCCACTGAGAGGCCGTGGATTTTCTTCCCTCTGTGCCTCGATCCTGGGACCATCACTACCTCCTCTGTTTGTCATTCCTGACCGTGACCTCCTGTGTGACGTTGGATGAGACACCCTATTCGCAGAACCTCTCCCCCTTCGCTGGCCAGGGCTGGTAACTGTGCTGACCTTTGGCCCTGTCAACTGAATGAAATCACTGTGGAATCCCTGCAGGATGTGCTGGCCCAAGTCCTTGAGGCAGATGTGGAGACACAGGTGTGATGTCAGCACATCCAGGTGCCACGCAGAAGTACACTCAGGCGTCATTCTCCTGACTCGGGAACCTTCGGTGGGACAGGACTACAAGACTGTATGCCACTCACTTATGCTGGCCCTGTGTATACCTCTGGCTCCTCTCTGGTTCTTCTTGGGTTTTCAGGTTATCCTGATTCCCCGAGGCAGGCAGGATAGTAACTAAACTGAGTACCCTCCAGGCAGATTCTCAGGGGAGGTGTTCCCAAGTTCTCAGTGTCCTGAGCAAAATAACTAAATGGGACACTCAGCAAGTATAGCAAGAGTAAGATTTGTTAAGACAGAGTAATGAGAGTCAGCAAAAGAAATAAGATCCACTCTACAGAGTGGAAGCAGCCAGGGAAAAGAGCTCATGGCCTGATACAGGCAGGTACTGGATCTCCTGAGGTCCTGGGATTGTGGGGGTCTACAGCTGAGGACCAACAGGAGTCATGCTCTGATGCAGTACCTGACTTGACCTGACCAGCAGGAAGAGGAGGTTTTGATTATGAAAGGTTTTTAGGTTTTTAGAGGTCACGGTGCCCAAGCCCACTGTGGGAGTCAAAACTGCAGCACAAATGAGACTGGATGAAGGCCAAGGTCCTGCACTTTAGGGTTTGCAAATGCTTGGGGAACTTGGGGGACAGGATGACCTTTTATCTTCTGGTATTTTGACATACTTGTCCTTGCTCTGTCTGGTTTCTTGACTCTTATCTGACAGCTTTCAGTTATTTACTTCTCCTTGCTCTGTCTCTTACCTCATTCATGTTGAATGAACATAAAAAGAGAAGATTGAACTCTACAGCAAGGCAGGCTTGAGTCACATGGTCTTGGTAGCATATTACTCTTGTTTCCAGAGCCACTGGAAAGGGCTGGTGCCGAGCAGGTCCCGCACCTCATGTGGTCACACTGCGCAGTTCTTTGGGGTCTGATAGAACATTCACAGGGGAGGTTGGTAGTCCCAGAAGGTGTTAACCCTGCTGAGGGCGTCCAGCCTGTCCAGAACTGAGCAAGCTTGAGGTTTGGGGCGCCCTCTAGTGGTAAGAAAATTCACAGAGGCCCGGTAAGGGCTGCACATGATCTGGCCAGCTTTGAAGCTTGATTCTGGTTCCCCAGAGTGCAGCATTCCCAGAGTTTCACTCTTGCCCTAATGTACCCTGTGGGCAGCTACTTTCCTTTCCCTCTGTAAAACTGAGGTGTTCCTGATGTCCTAAGATGGCCACAGATTAACACAGTGCATTGCATGATGACTGCAAATTACCCTGTGCCAGCATTCATATGTGAGCTCTCAGTTCCCATTCTAACCACCCTACAGGCTGAGGATACACTGTCCTCATTTTACAGAGGAGGAGACTGAGGCAGCAAGCCTAAGGAACACATCCAGGTCACATAGCAAGGGTTGGGGGCTGGCACCCAGGCTGCAGGTGAGACCTCCTGAGCCTACGCTGCAGGGATGTGGGATTCTCCTCATAGGCTGCCAGCTGTGCACCTCGGCTTAATGTTATGGGGTCTGACCATTTTACAAACCATAACTACAATGTGAAACTATCAGTGAATAAAGTCTCTAAAGCCTGGGCCCTGTTAGCTTTCTTCCTGAGCTCTTCCTGGCATGTGCACAGCAGCGTGGGGCTGGGGATGTGGCTCAGGGGTAGCCTAGAGCACTTAAGTCCCTGGCCTTAAGCCAGGCCTTAGCCAGGAAAAAGAAAAGTATAATCATCTAGTAGAAGGGACCCTCAGGATGGAGCCCCAGGCTCTAGAGCTTAGTGTCTGCTTTATTCTGGACCCTAGGGATTTGTGCTTACTACTGGGGGCTAAGGAACAAAAGAGACATATTCCAAGAGCTGGGGACTTAACTCAGTGGTTCTACCACCTGCCTCACAAGCCCAAGGTCCCAAGTTTGATCCCTGGTACCAAAAAAAAAAAAAGAAGAAGAAGAAGAAGAAGAACCATATTCCTGTGTAGTCAGACCTGAAGGACAAATTGAACAGCACTGCATCAGTCTGTGCCTCTCCCCTCCCTACTTCCTTCGGTCTCCTCCGCTTCCTGGGAACCCTTCCTGAGAGTTGGGCAGGACGGTCAGGGGCTGCTGGGGCAGGCTGGTCTTGGGGCCAATGCTGACCTTGACCATCAGGGGCCACCTCTGTGGAAGGAAGAGCTCAGGGCTGTTTCTAAGCTGCTCGATGAGAGGATGATGATGTCACTTCAAGGACTGGGCAGAGGTCAGACTCCCTGGAGCCCTGAGACCCTACTGTTATCTGTTGTCTTCCTGCAGGTGGACAGCCCCCTCGGCTCAGCCAGCCCCTCCAGAGGGCTCTTCTCCAGAGGTCCCCAGGCCCGGCCATCCAGCCCCGTGTCTGCTCCCGTGAGACCCAAGACCAGCCCGGGCTCTCCCAAAACTGTGTTCCCGTTCTCCTACCAGGAGTCCCCACCGCGCTCACCACGCCGAATGAGCTTCAGCGGGATCTTCCGCTCCTCATCCAAAGAGTCTTCGCCCAACTCCAACCCATCTACCTCACCCGGGGGCATCAGGTTCTTCTCCCGCTCCAGAAAAAGTAAGACACTGATGCTATGGTTTCAGGTGGGTGCCAGGCTGCTGGGGGTCTTCTCTAGAGCCAGTTGGCCAGGTAGGGCCAAAGCCGCCTGTCGGGTGGCTGTCGGTGGCTTGGTGATCAGTGAGCCCCTTGCTCGTGTAGTGTTGGCAGGTAACCTCCACTCTCTGCTCGTAATGCTTTAAATCATCTCCAGGTTACTTACAATGTCTAATGCAAGGCCAGTGCTGTGTACATTGTCTTTATGGTGCATTGTTTAGGGGATAATGATAAGAAAAAAAGCTGCACGTGCTCAGTGCAGGCGCAATTTAAAAACAGTATTTTGGGTCTGTGGTTGGGTGAACCTTCAGGTTCCATGGACGTGGAACCTGAAGACACAGAGGGCCAGTTGTACTTTGTCCTGAGCCCCCTCTTCTTGGATGGAGCAGCGGACCAGGACCTCATGCAGGCTGGAGGGTGCTCTTTCTTGTCAGGTGGCGTTGGGCCCGCATCAGCTACAACAGGATTGGGTTGTATACTCTTCCCAGGTCTGCCAGCACAAACTGCAGTGCTTAAAAGATACAGACAGTGTCAGAGTCCAGGCCAGAAGAATATGATGGAGGTTCAGGCAGGACCACACCCCACTAAAGGTGCAAGGGACAGGCCTGGGTTGCTGGCAGACCTTCTGATCGCTGGCTGGTAGTGTCTCTCTCTTCTTTTGAGGAGATTGTGTAGGATTAAGGGCCTGCCCTACTCCAGTACATTAAATAGGTCTGAAATTACCCTGTTTCCAGAAACAGGCATATCCCAAGGTTCTGGAAAGGGCACACGTTGGCGGGGAGACTGTCCAATCCGGTACATAGTGTGTATGGGAAAGGCCGATTTACCATCAGGGGTGTGGAGGATTGGTGTCAGGAGCCTGGGGAGATGGGCAGAGTGGGTGTTTCCTTGTGACCTTGGCGGGGACTGGTCTCAGCTGAAGAGGCGCAGGCTGTGACCAAAGCAGCGCCCAAGAGTCTCGTGGGGTGTTATAGCCACGTGGGACTTGGCTTGGGTGCCCTGCTGAAAGCTGGCCCTCCATGGGGGCCACACTGCCCAGAAACCCTCCCCCAGAATCCCAGTACTGGTACTTGGAGCCCAGTTTCTTTAGAGAAGCTCCCTGAGGTGATGTTCAGACCGGAGCAAGCCTGATCCCACAGACAGCTGTTCATTTTATTTGTCCTTGAAGCATGGAGCTTGTTGCTCCTACCCCACTTCTCTGACCTGGAGTATTTCAACTGTCTGTCCAGTGGGCGTCCCACCACCCACATTCCGAGATTAAGTGAGGGCTGACTGGCTTATTTAATAAACAGAGAGGCTGTGATCAGTACTGAGATGTTGGTGCCCACCTGTCCCTTTTCCTCACATTCTCAAAATCCTAAGCAGCTATTGGAGGCTGAGTCAGGAGGATCACAAATTTGATCCCAGACTGGGCAACCTAGCAACTTAGGGAGACAGACCCTGCCTCAAAATTTAAAAAGGCTGGGGATGTAGCTGAGTGCAAAGGCTCTGGGTTCAATCCCCAGTACCAGCTGCTGACCACTGGGGCAGGGCAGGATGGAGTTCAGCTGGAGCACCAGACAGAGGCCTCCCTTGTCCTGGGGGATTCCTTTTGGGGGTGACCTTTGCATTGCACAATGGGATGGGGCATCCCAGGAGGGACAGTTGGAGGTCTTTTGGCAGCGACTGTCCAGGTAGTTGTTGTTGTTGTTGTTCTTGGTTTGTTTCTTGCAGTTGTGGAGATTGAACCAGGGACTTCAGACTAAGCTATACCCCCAGCCCTTTTTATTTTGAGACAGGGTCTTGATAAGTCTCTAAGTTTCAAAATTCCCGTCATATTTGTTACCTTTTTGCCTTTGTCATCTGAATTCATTTTACATCTGACTTCTCTCCTAGGAGACCGTGGGGTCAGAGAGCAGGTCTGGGTCCCATTGTCCTGGGAAGGAATAGTCTTGGCTCCTCCGTTTCTCTGCGTTTGTAACCGAATGGCCACTAGGGGGCGACATAACCTCACGTGCTGAGTGAGCCTCAGCCTGGAGCTGGTCGGTCCTGCCCAGGGTAGAAGCGAGAGCCAGCCTTCCCGGGCTTTTCCAGCTTGGCGATGTTGGCTTCCTGGCAGAATAATGTTACAATGCGTGCGGGCCAGTAGACCACATGCCTGACCAGGCCATTTCAAGACGGGGAGGGTCACATGACATTGAAGGTGTCCGTTTAGTGTGCGCCTCATGAGAACCTGCGGAGTGCCACAGTCAGGGGTTTGAGCCGTGAACAAGCTTGTCCCTGCTCTCATGGGAGTTACATCCTGGGCACAGATGGAGATAGATGCCACAGGCACAAAGATGTGTGGTAGCAAGTACTACAAAGGGCAAAGGAGCAAGATACCGGGGTGCTGTGTTATGTACGAAGTCAGCAAAGGGAGATGTGGGCAAGGATGGGGTAGACGTGTGTGGTGTGGCACACCCGGCAGAGAGGATGGCAGTGCCAGCATCCCCTGAGCCATTAGGAACATGTCAGGGTGACCAGACTGGAGCGAGAGAGGCTGCCGGTGGTGAGGCCAGGATCCTAGGGTTTGATTCCCGGTATGGGAAGCCCAGGGGTGCCAGGTGGGAAATAACTTGCTCTTCCTGAGGGGCTGGTCTGGCTGCTGGGTAGAGGCAAGAGAGACTTGAGGGTTGACAGCCAAGGGCCCCTGAAATCAGCCTGGACATAAAGCGTTCCTCGGAGATCTCCTAGTCCTAGCTTCTCTGGAAAGCCTTGCCTTGAGCAGCCTTCGAGAGCTCTGAAATACAACTGTTATTTTAAGTATTCTCGCAGCCCATGCTCCCTTGCAATAAGCATCTATTACCTCCCTGTCTCTGAAAATCATGTGCTGAACCTTTCGTGCCCTTGCCTCTTATTTCCCCAAGCTCTGCCAAGTCACAGCTCCTGATCCCCCAGTTCTGATCGGGCACTGGCAGTCAGTCACCCAAGCTGGGCAGAACACAGCATCTCTGGCTGCAAGTGTCTCCAATGAAGAATGGAAAGCTACTGAAACTTAGGAGAAAAGCTCTGGCCTTCAGCTCTGCAAAGGCAACCTAAGTCTCCTGTCTTCCCTCTGGGGTTGGCTGAGTCCTCCAGCTCAGGTGCCTGCATCCTTTTTTCTCTTCCTGCAGATCTCAAAGGTTCTGGCAGAGGCACTCATATTAAATGGACTTGGAAGGCAACATGCTCGCGTAGTGTGTAGCTCAGAAGGAATTCCCAGCGTCAGAACCAGGCGCCACAGCTTCCAGTCTTGGAAGCAGCTGTCTTCCAGAATCCTGTGATTATGTAGCAGTGGCTCTTGGAGACTGGGGCAAGGTGGCATTTGGCCAGCTCTCCCCACTCCCACTGAGCAATAAATGGCATGTTGTCTTAGTGGGCAGCTGTCCACACCCAGTGACCACATGGGGCATTGGGACATTATCTTTCTTCTTCTGGAAAAAAAAAATGTTGCTGACCTGGACAGCCACCTTCTCCAATTACACCAAAGGCTACTCTAGGTCACAACCACAGGACAAGGTGGGACAGGGCAAGCAAAGGTGGAGTGTATATGCTGCCCCCGGGGAGGGAAATTACAGCGCTGAGAGGTGAAAATGAGGCTATGTAGATTCATTGCAGCAGTGTTTTGAAAACGCCCTGCTCTGGAAACTTGAGAAATACATTTGATGTTGTAATCCAGTTACCTACACAGCTAACTTAAAACTTTTTCTTTTGAATGAAATGACAGTTACTCTGAGCTATATGGATTTTTTAAACTCTTCTCTTTAGGAATGGTTTCTCTGACCCTTGGTTGATTTTTGTGCCATTGGTGGAGGGAGGGAGCAGATTGCAGTTTGGAAAATGCTGCCCTCCAGGGTTGGCAGCAGACAGCAGATGAGCCAGGAAGACTGCTGGGCAGGTCTGGGCAGGGCATAGACGAGGAGTGGACCCAGGGCGTCATGGGGTCTGGGCCATGTGGAAGAGATGTGGAAGGGAAGACTTTGAAAATTTCAGATTTCCAAGACTAGCTCACAGCCATGACCAATGTCATGAGTACTTTGAACCTCCAAAAGGACTGTCATCTTCTGTTTGGAGGTCAGTTAGAACTCTCAGATTCCATAAAGGATGGGCGGACCACTGGGTATGGTGGCACACGCCTGTTATTCCAGCACTCAGGAGGCTGAGGCAGGAGGATTGCTGTGAGTTCCAGGCCGGCCTGGGCTCCATAGTGAATTCAGGGTCAGCCTGAACTACAAAGCAAGACCCACTCTCAAAAAACCACCACCTCCTCCCCTCAAAAAAGACTGAGCTGACCTGGAGTATGGCAGCTTCGCCCAGCCCTTCACCCCCACTCGGCATGTGGCCCCTGGCAGGGAAGCCATTTGAAATGCAAATGCGCTCTGGGGAGTTTATTTATCTTGTAAAACTTGGGTCCCTCTCACACCATCTCAGCCTTAGAGCACAGACAGCCTTTCCTTTATATCCCAGCAACTGGAGTTTATTTTTCAAATAAAAGTCTGTTTTCCCATAAAGCGCAAAGATTTTGTGCTCCGTGGGGAAGAATGAACTAGAGCTTTTAAGACTAGTTTGGAGTCTCCCAGCCTTCAGTTTCCATGCCAAGGGCTCTCTGGGACTGAGGATCCCCTGCCCCAGCTTACTCCGCAGAACAAACACAGGCAGTCGCTCGGCCCCGGCATCAATGGAGCCCATTGTGCCTGAGCGCAGAGCAGGCCAGCAGGGTGGGCCAGGCCCCGTGAATCGGTCCCAGGCCGAGGTCTGGGTGGCGCTGCTGGTCGCTGCAGATACCTCGCTGACCCTCCGCGGCTGTCCTTAAGGAGGACAGCTGTTTGCTTCACATGTGAGTAGGGATCCTTCTGCTCTGCAGACTGAAGACGGAAGTGACTGATGCCTAGATTATCCGGCTGCAGTTATGTGTTCTGGGGTCTAAAGGTGAGGCACCCATGGGAGTCTGGCAGGGAACCCAGAGC